TCATTAGGGCGTTCACAGGGAGCAGGCGAGGGTGAGCAGGCAGGGTGTGAGCAGGCAGGGTGTGAGTAGGCAGGGTGTGAGCAGGCAGGGTGTGAGCAGGCAGGGTGTGAGCAGGCAGGGTGTGAGCAGGCAGGGTGTGAGTAGGCAGTGTGTGAGCAGGCAGGGTGTGAGCAGGCAGGGTGTGAGCAGGCAGGGTGTGAGCAGGCAGGGTGTGAGCAGGCAGGGTGTGAGCAGGCAGTGTGTGAGCAGGCAGGGTGTGAGCAGGCAGGGTGTGAGCAGGCAGGGTGTGAGTAGGCAGTGTGTGAGCAGGCAGGGTGTGAGCAGGCAGGGTGTGAGCAGGCAGGGTGTGAGCAGGCAGGGTGAGCAGGCAGGGTGTGAGCAGGCAGGGTGTGAGCAGGCAGGGTGTGAGCAGGCAGGGTGTGAGCAGGCAGTGAACGCAAAATTCACTGTTTAAAAATGTAATTTGAAGCTGCGTTCTTGCACCTGCCTGCAAGAAGTTGTTTAAAAAGCATTTTAATATCCATAAACATTTGATTAGGGATGCTAAATAACTGCCAGCTATAGGCACTTCTCTCCAAGTGTTCCTATATAAGTCATGAATTGAAAGCCTCTTATGTCAACAGAGTTTGTAATGTATCCCATTGTCCCACTCTTTACCACAAAATCCCTCCCAACCCCACAATGTATCATAAAGAAGCGTCACACCAACACTTTACAATCTGTACAATATACCACACCCTCCCTTAAAGTCTTGCATGGTAACAGAGGAGTGAAAACAGCATTTAAGGTTATCCTGTGTATTTCAGGAACAACTCAAGAGTTAATTGAGTGTACAATATATTACTTGAAACCCCTCGTTCTCATCTGAATTTGTATAATCTTCCTTCCGAACCTCTTAAGGGTTACTGCAGTGATTAATGGTTTGCATTCATTTAAACATTTATCATCAGGAATTACCTGTAAAGCCTAAAAATGCTGCCTAAGGACAGAAGTTGCTGCAGATTCAGGTGTGTGTGTGTGTGTGCGTGCATGTGTGTGTGTGCGCGCGCATGTGTGTGTGTTTGCCTGGAGATACGGACAGCTAATCCATGGCCTTTTCCCGCTGCTGCACCTGAGAAAGTGATGAATAAGTAATTTGCAGGGAACAGGTTGTGCAGCCTGGAGTGTACGGAGGTAGAGCATGGACAGATGGAGCAGAGAGAAAAGGGAACGGTCTGGGGACGAGGACGAATAATAATACTGTGGGAAGAAGTATCCTGCTCCATAAGCAAAATAATAACCTTTCCTGCAACTTAAACATTGTGCAATACTGTTTTCTTTACTGTATGCATGTGAAATTGGCAGCATAATGCAGATTATTCACTTTTATTTTATCATTAAATCATTATTAAGTACTCAGATATTTTAAGGTAAAGTAGAAATACAAATATTTAATCTTTTATTGCACTTTTTAGATTGAACTTTCTTTACATAAATACTTAATCTTCTGGTATCTAATTCCCACCACTTTATTTTCCAAAGATTCCTGTTTTTGCATTCAGGCAGCGTCGGAAATCAACCAAATTCCTGCCGCTCTTCCCATAACGGACGCGGTTTACACGCAGACGCTCTGTTATTCTGATGCAAAGCGGGACGGGCTGATAGCGAGGGTCCTTGATAAAGCTGTGAATAGAGGGGGGGTCCTTTCTTAACATCCCACAGTTCCCATTCACAGCAGATGAATAGACGCGTCGGATCCAGTCTGAGCCCCCAATAAGAGCTGAACCTCAGGGCAGCAACGGCCAAGACAAGTTCTACTGAAAACATTTTTACAAACCCCCCTTCTCATTCAAATGCTTTTTGGAGGTTCAATTAAGCACCATTTTCTTGCAGGGAAATGGAGGATAATCTTGACAATTGTGATCGAAAACCAGATTATCCTGTCGAGATACAGCAACAACACGATATGCTATAAAAAAAATTCAAATCTACATACGTCAGGATTATAACTCTAAACTTTATCAGGCTGTGACCTACATTTCCCCTCTTATCTCAACAACAGCTGGAACCAGAGATAACTTGACTTTATAGTTTAATAATCAATAAACCAATCACATCTACTCATAATTGACTTTGAAAAAAAGCTTTAAAAGGAAAGAAAGGTTCATGATTATGCCTCTTGAACTTTAGAAAATATGTATTTTTTTGTGGTTTAATATCATACTTAAATAGATCTAGAGGAAATTCTCAAAACAAATCTACAAAGAAAGAGGTAACGTGAATATCCAGTCCACTCAATCAATTGTTTACTACATGCAAAGTCAAATCTTTAAAGTAGATGATTAAGATCTTCGGTCCGAAAGAGAAGCAGGACGTTTGACAAACTTTACGAAACACACAAACAAAGACATGACAGGCATCCTGCACGGTGCCGATCCAGTGGGTCGAGCTTGATGGATGAACCCTTCAGTTTATTTGATTTAGCCGCGGCCCCCCTCAGCTGCAGACGCTGAAAACGTGTGAGAAATCTTTTTCTAATCGGGCAGGTCCAAGGTGACCCGCGGGTCCCTTCAGAAGAGGCCTTACAGATATCCATCACCCCCCCCCCCCCCCCACTGACCCCTGACAGTGCAGAATGAGAGAGAGGAGGGCGGTGACATAAATCATAACGCTTTCTGAAGCTGTAGCATCCATCATGGGAAGAGAAGGTATGAAATAGAAAATAGAAAACTTTTTATATATATATCCCAAAGCTTCTGGGATGTTATTGAAGTACAACAGTTTAACATTTCCTGCAGCATTTGACCCATTTTACTTAATTTTTATTGCACTATTTCTTTATTTTATTTTGCATTAATTATTATTATTTTATTTTATTTCACCTTTTACCAATTTTACTTATTTTTAATTAATTAAAAATAATTAAATTATTCTTAATTTGTATTTAATTTATTTTTAATTTCCTGAATATATTTTATTTTGAACTGTCAAACACTAAACCATAGCTATTGATTTAAATTGAATTAAAGCATGAGCTGATCAGATATAAACTCAGAAATTAACATACAATTACAGGAAACATTTCATTGCAGGAAAAGAGATCAAAACAACGTGTCTTAAAGTAAAGGGGTTGTAGAATCTAAATCTGGTGATGCACACTGAAGCTGCACACACACCTGATTTAGTTTGTTGCATGATTAAGTAGGACAGTTGAATTCAATCTGTTAGAGGGGGTTCTCCTCTCCCAGCTGTTGCTCCAATTATCCGCCTTGTTGTAAACTTTGGTCGCTGCTTACAAAAGTTCCCCCAGGCATCGCTGAAGGGGAGCCGATCCTGCAGCATGTTGCAAAAGACTGGATGTATATCTTCCCTGAGTTGAGCAGGACGTTCTCTCATCATTTGTAATGTTTTTGAGGTCATTATATTCAGTAACTGTTTCCGAATGTTGGCTTTTGCTCATTTTAGATACCAAGCAGTTTGAAACTCTTGTCTTTTTTTTTAGTCGAGTGTCTGTAAGTCAAACTCATGATGCACAGAGGTCACGACCTTTGACTCAACCCTTAAAAATACAGTATGAAACAGCAAATATATGTGACTTCAAAGCCAAATCAGTCAGCTATTTCCCTCTCAAACACAACTGTCTTTAGTTCATCTTCACATGCAGGGAATCTTCTCTTCACTGCCTTTCGAAGCTTATTTTGAGACATTTTGTCTTCCTCCTGTCGTCTTTTCGCTGCGCTGTGTGCACTGACAGCAGCTTTATTCAGCGATTGAGTCAATGAGATGAAAGAGGAAGCTCTATTTGGCTAATGTGTGGAATAAAAAACACTCAAACTCCTTTTTATGCACTTTTGAATCTTGTGATTGTCATTTAAAGCGAATAAATATCCATCAGGTACCAAGGTGGTTAAAATATAATCAACTTTCTTAGATGAAATCACACCATTTTTGCATGAAAAGGACAAACCATTTCCAGATAAAGCTTCTGCTGTTATTATTATTATTATGAATAGTGCGCAGTGACAGCGTTTTAATCACCAAAGCTTTAATGAGCAGCGCCTCTTTATCAGAGCACCACGAGTCGTTTCCCTGCAGCTCCACTCCACTTTATTTATTGAGCCTGTTGATCGTTACTGTCTCCAGGGCCGGTTTGATCACGTTTCTAAAGCTCAGTTTGTGGAAATATGTTACTTTATTGATAATAAAAAGCTAAGAAGCAGCCAAAATATGTGCAGTCTGATTTTATTTCAGTTTTTAGCTGTGTTTCCTCTATTGGAAATGTCTTTAAAATCAATCAGGAGTGGATTTAATGAATCAGTTCAGGCTCCATATTGAAATGACCACTATGTATTGACAAGTAGAAGAAGAAATAAAAAGAATATGGAGCAAGAACAGAGTTTACACTAAAGGCCAGGTCACAGTTAAACTTGGGTGAACTTTGACAGGCAATCCGCGCCGTTGACCAACAGCTGACCTTTCAAAGGACAGAGTCCAAAATAAGGTTAGCTAATTTTGGCTTCGCCTATATTAACCATGCATCAAGTAAATGTACTACTGTAGGACATTATTTAACTAATTAATTCAGTGTCAACAATGGGCTTCAACGCCTTGCTTGACAAGAAGTACATCGTATAATGAGTTTCTTCACTTTTTTAAAGCCCTTAGATTATAACAAAATGAAATGTGCAATAACTGTTGAGCACAATTGAGCCCTTTGTTGTATTTTGGTTGTAGTGGCCTATCAAAACAACACTTAAAATAAGTGTGTGTGTGTGTGTGTGTGTGTGTGTGTGTGTGTGTGTGTGTGTGTGTGTGTGTGTGTGTGTGTGTGTGTGTGTGTGTGTGTGTGTGTGTGTGTGTGTGTGTGTGTGTGTGTGTGTGTGTGTGTGTGTGTGTGTGTGTGTGTGTGTGTGTGGCCACGCCCCCTCCCAGTGACGTCACACACTCCTCTCCACCACGGTGCTTCAGTCCTCCGGCAGACCGGAGCAGAGACGGACGTGAACCGGCGTGTGTGCGCGTCTTTCACCGCTAAAAACTTCCAGAACTGTGGAATAATACTCTTAGTTTGACCTTTTAAGTACTAATGTTATTTGTTTTGGTCGTTAAGCCAAATGACACGGGGAAAAAGGAGAAGAATTCTCTCCATCAGCTCTTCACCTTCTCACTTTCCCACTGCGAGCGTCTTCCAGCCAGCAGGAGGTCAGTTCACATTTCACACTAATTTACATTTAATTACTTCTAATTATCTTTTTACACCAAGCATGTGCTCTTTTTGTGGTTAATTTAGCAAAACAGAGTGTGGAGAGTAATTCGGATTCACTCAAGTTAAAATATTCTATCGTATTATTTTGATATTGTCTGTTTCCATGGCATTTTCATGCATCTTTATAGTTACATTAAATGCCTATTATGACTATTTAAGTATGATATCTGTGTTTCTATATTGATATCATGATTTTATAATGGTTTATTCTGAGTGTATGGTGCCTAATAATGACATGTTTTGTTCATTTTAATGTGTTATGATGCTGTATTTATTCTCTAAACACTATTTATATATTTAAATTCAAAGCTTTCTGCACATTTGTTCCATTCTTTACTTATTTTATGAATCAATGTGTCTATCTGAATACACAATATATACAGAGAATACTGGATATTCACATATTAGCATAGGCAAACACCGTTTTCTTTTAGAGGAAAGCTCATTAGCAGATGGAGGCAAAGTGAATTATAAGTTTGATAATTAGCACTATACGTCGTCAAGTGTGTGCACGCGGTCAGGCGCACGTGCACGCCCCCTCAGCCAGTAAGGTCATCAGATAATCGGAAAATCCTCCTCTCTCTTTCTATCAGCAGCACACACACTGCTGCCGCCTGCAACTCTGCCTAATTAGATGCAGAGTGATTTTGTGTGTGTGTGTTTCCTGAAGAAACTCTGATATGGCAAACTCTTCCTCCACTTCTTCTTCTTGTCCTTTTCCCTCTTCCCTCTTTTTGTCTCCTCTTCTTCACTTTTATACCTAGTATTTCTTTATCTGCTTATACCTGTTCTTCGTCGTCTCCTCATTCTCTTTCTCTCATTCCTTTCCCCCATTTTTTTTAAACTATTTGACTGTGGACAACATTTGCTTACTTCCCTCTTCGTTTCCTTTCATCTCCTCTTCATCACATCCACTTCCCCTTCCTTTCTCTTTTTCACGTTATCCTCCTCTTTCTCTGCTAACCAACACATGCACACAAACTCATTTAAAAGTGACACAAAACACCTTCACACACACAGCAAACAACTCATAGTATACCCCCCCGCCCACACACACAAACACACACACTCTGTTGTCTTTCCCCCCCTCGAGGCTAAGCCTGAAAACTAGCATGTCATCGTTTTCCTGCTCCGCTCGAAGGTGCGCTCCATTTTGTAATTAATGCCCTCTCAGCACAACACACACACACACACACACACACACACACACACACACACACACACACACCCCGCTTACACACACAGTATTGTTTTTCTCTGTGTTGATATAAAACTCATAAACAAATATATCTTGATTATAGTGATTAAGTAAGATGTTAAATACGAAAACTAATGCTATAGAACAATGATAATATACACAAACACTTTTGTAAGGTTGAGAACAACTATAAGAATAATGCAAAATTCAAATTAGGGTGAATAATTTGGACCAACTGGTGTAATATATCTTCTTTAAAACTGCGCCGCATTAGGGCGTAATGATTTAACAACACAAGTTCTCCTCACTTCATTAATCCCCATTATTACACCATCAGTTAAAAACAGTCTTTTCATGGAATTATAAATGTGAAATCTAGCTGTTTTTTCAGAATTAATTACATTTCCATGCACAGTTTATCAAATGAATGCTTTCCCCCCTGCTGAGAATAGACTTTGGAAGTAAATTATAGCTTTAAAAACTCATTTTCTGCCCTAAAGTTGACTTGCTGACTTGTTAAAGGGGACATGTTGGGCTCATTTTGGGTTCCAGTCCTGCAGCTCAGAGGTGGAAGCAGCACTAAAACCAGGCACTTAGCGGCCTCATTTACCTGGAAATCCATCCTGAGGAGAGCGCAGAGATTGTAATATTTTACGGATGAATTTCCCCGGTGATGAATGGTGGCACACTAATGTAGTTGACCACATGCCAACTGCAGATTTTTTCTTTATTTCTTTATCTTCTGATACTCTGCAGAGTAAAAAATAAAACCTGGTAATGTTACAAAGCTGCAGCAGGGCAGTGTGGACACAATCTCCTGGAAATAATAGATTTATTTGGAAATAAATCCTCAAAAATGCATGAAATTAAACTCCTCAAAAGTCACATGTATGCAGAGTTCACTCATAAGCCTCAGGCAACGGTGGCCCATAAGGGACAATCTGTTGCAGACAGTTATCAAACTTCCAAGGACATCATTTCCCTGAGCCCCTTTTTCCATCCATTTCTTCTGCTGGTTCACCGCCCCCACATTGGAGGTGTGAACACTGACCAGATGCATGCTGGGAGCAGAGCTGCATCGCCTGAGGCCACAACAGGGCAGTCGTTTAGGTACCTGTCTCAAAGTGGACCTAATGTTTTTATTTCCCTGAGGAAAGGACAGAATTAAACCCAAGAGCCTGCTCACAGTTTCCTGCAGGATAAATGAAAGAGCTGACCTTTAATGGACTTTAAAATCAAAAGGAATTTTTGTTGCATCACGTTTAAGATAATTTATTTGGTCTTGAGGCGACAACCTGCAGCAAAAAAGAGGGAAAGACTGATCTTGCAGACCTCATCACACTGACTAAAGAGTATTTTGGTTTGTTCGATGGTGATTTAACTGTAGCTTCCTCTCTTTGATCTGGGATTCGTTTTTGTTGGTACGCTTCAACAGTGGATGAAGTCTGAATATTAAACACTGTTGGTTAGGTTTGACACGATTCTGTTGTTTCATTCCCCCTCCTGTAATCTGCTCATTTTAAACAGCTGTGATGGCAAAGTGATAAACTCTCCTCGAGCATACGGAGGCTGGAAATGGTTATTATAGTGATATTCATCCAGGGATTAGACCAGGCCGCCGCTCGGGTAATTAAACTTTCTACTCCCCGCTTCGCCTCTCCGTCAGCCTGACTGAAATGAGTTTATAACGCAGTGTATTTCACAAACTCGTGGGGGGGAAACATATATTTCCAATCTTGAGGAAGGCTAACCAGGAGCCCTGCAGCAGCTTTCTTAAATCTCCTGAGAGCATCTTTCTTTTCCTCCTGTAATAGAAATGTCTCTTCCAACGTGAAGTAAAGCACGTTCATTTCCCCAAATGCTGAATACACTTTGTCTTGTTATTCTGTATCCATGCAGGGTATCACAGTCTTGTTTTTGCAATTATTATAATTTTCACTCTGCTACATTTATTTTACTTTCATATCATGTGTTTACATATAAACTATGCTGATAAGATCTCATGCAGTACTAACTAATAACCCAGTATTTTATATAAAGCTGTCTCCCCATTGACAAACTACAGCATTACAATGCTCTTACATGCATGTCATGGTAATGAAAACATAAAAAACGTTGTTCTGCACACTGAGGACTTTTACTTTACCCAAAAGCATAATAGGGCCTCTTTAAGTAACATTTTGAATGCAGGACTTTGATTTGTAATGAAGTAGGTATTTCTACTTTTCTACCTCTAGTGTTTTTTATTGTAGCTTGTGTCGTCTCTCCTCTTCAAATCAAGGAAATGAGTTTTCGAAGAATCCAGTGTGCTTTGAACTGAACCTCCTGCTGTTCCCAGCTCCAGTTCCTCCTCTTCCCTCACCTCCTGCTGCATGCAGCGGGGATGGCCTCCATGTTATATCAAAGCCGGGGACGCTGTCTTTGTCTTCTTATTGATCGCAGCTGCCCGCTGAGTGTTCATTTTAAACTAGAGGGGCTTTTTTTTTATCGACGGGCAGGCGACACGCTCCCTGATGAGCAAGAAAATAAAATGTTTGACTGGATTTCAGCTAGAGCTCAAACAGATGCAGCCATTAAACAAAACCTACTTCAACTTCCCAGAGTGCACCTCTGCTCTAAAACCATTCCACTTTTTCACTGTTTGTCATTTTGAGGTAAGAGAGATAAGAAATATTACTGCATCTGCTCAATGGGAGGGGTTTCAATAAAGGGTGAAGTTGGCTGGGAAGCAATGAAAGCACAAATAGTCAAGCTTTTCGTAGACATGGATTAAGATTAATATGGCAAAAAAAGCAATTTCTTTTAATATCTCTCCTCTACTGTGTGTTATTCTCAGTTATGTCTGGAAGCTGCTATAACAAAGTATACTGCTGTCTTTTATGAAAGGCAAACACCTGCAGCTGAATTAAAAAACCTCAGCATTTAATGTGAGCAGAAATTCCTCTCTAAGATAATGAGTGAAAGGGACGTGGCAGCTTCTGCACTCTGTGTTGCTTTAATCAGATTCAAATGGCATCATTAGTGTGGCAATGCAAATGTTCTCAGTGTCGCAGCTCAACACTTCCTGCAGGAAGAATACAAGTCTCTGGTGACTGAAGGAACGGCGTTTTGCTGCAAAACAATTTCTGGCTGTCTCTCTAATCAGATTACTGTCCTCTGCTGACTCGGTGTTTTCATACACAAATTGAATCACAACTCAATTCGGACAAGGAAATTGGTGACTTGCTCAACACAATCAGAGATGTAAATAGTGAAAACACAGAGCAGCCGGAGGGAGAGATGTTTGCTGCTTTTAATCCCGTGTTGGAAAATATTTTGCAGCTCACAATAATGTGTCACACAACAGTGTTTCCAGCTTTGTGTGATAGTTTGATGCAGAGGACATTTTTTGTATCATCTCCCCTTTTCTTGACAAGGTCCCTTTGCTTTTTCAACCCCTATTCAAGCATTCAAAATAAGTTGTTGAATGCAACTGGCATTAAGGAATGATACTGGCACATCCATAATGGGGATACCATTTTCAGCTGTAAAGAAATACGGTTTCCTGAGATGTGTTTGCCTCATTCTGCACACTATGTTTCTGACCTTCCTCACTGTCAAATCACTCAGAAATTCAATCTTGTTTTGTGTCATATATTTATTTATTCTCCATTGCACTGCTCCTCAATCAAATCTCTCTCCTTCTCCTTCTCCAGCGTACTGCTCATGCTCTTTGCATCGATTTAGAAAAAAGCTGCAAGTCATTTCTTTCCCTCAGAACACCCTTCATAACGGCAGTGATATTTGTCAAGCTTATTTTCCGCAGCTTTGACCTTAGCAGACGTAAACTCTGTTACTGATCTAGAAAATGATACTTCATACAGTAGCGTTGCTTTAAAATTCATTTGGGCATCAAACTGATCGATCCCAATTGAAAATGCTTTGTTTGTTTCCAATCCAGATGAAAAGCTGCCGATGAGCGAATTCTGTGCTAAGTAGCGGCCATGGCTGCCCATCGCATCGTCAGAGTGACGAGCAACAGTCACGTCCTGCCTCGCTGCAAGTCTGAAGGGACGCTCATCGACATTAGCGAAGGGGTCAATGGGGCCAGTCTCAACGATGTTAAAGGTCAGTTTTTTACTGTATTCACAGCAGTTTTGATGTCTCTACTCTACTCAGTCATATGTGGAAATGAAACCCTATTATCCTCTCTCTGGCTCTTTCACTTCACTGGTTGCACTGCATTAAAGCTTTGTTTACATGCTCCATATACGCTAATGATGTCAACTAAAAATAGAGAATTGTGCAGTACATTATGCAGTTCATTTGCTCATATGTTTGCTTAGTGATCTAGAAAATGTGTCCTTGCTTTCGGAATGAGTAAAGGTTTAGTTTTTTGGGGCAATTTTGACTGTTTTTTATCACATATTTCGTACTTCCTGAACCCTTTGTTAGACCCCTGTCTGATCTGTAGTGCCCTCACCTCATTACTGGCCCATTACATGTGTCTGATTAAGAGCATTTAACTGCAGTAGTTTGATTAATCAGCCATTGAGTGCACCACTTTGTAATCAAGTTAGAAGACCATCACTCATTTTAGTAGATTATATCTGTCTAATATCTTCTTTCCTTTTCAGTGCCTTCTCCCAGTGCCTTAAGGCTGGACACTTCCTCCTCCTATGGAGCAGCGCAGGAAGTGGTCGCCATAAAGGATTACTGCCCCAGCAGCTTCACTACGCTGAAGTTCTCCAAAGGGGACCGCCTCTATGTGTTGGACACGTCAGGGGGGGAGTGGTGGTACGCGCACAACAACACGGAGATGGGCTACATCCCTGCCGCCTACGTGCAGCCGCTCAACTTCGGGAACTCTTCGCTCAGCGACAGCGGGATGATTGACAGTCTTGGGGAAGGGTACGAGGATGGGTCGAAGGAGTTTGGAGGCCGAGGGGAATGGACAGGGGTTTCCCTTAAGCCTTCCCCAATTTACAACAATACTCTCTTTGCTGTGAACCCCTTTATCAAAGATCAAAACTGCAAAGATTCTGGCGTTAGGAACTCAACGGACCTTATTCTGTTTGATGCACTGGCATCTCCGTCATCTTGCTCAAACTTGACCTCTAGTACAATCATGACCAATGGGTTCAGCAGCTGCCACATTAACAGTACAACCCCCACAAGCCCAAATCAAGAGGTTGTACCTAACCTCCACAGGGATAATCCATTTTTCAGGAGCAAACGTTCCCACAGTCTCTCAGAACTGTCCGTCCTGCAGGCGCAGTCCAATCCATCCTTACCTTCTTCGGGGTTCTTCTCAGGCCTTAAGGCTCCTTCCCCGGAGCAGTTTCAGAGCCGGGAGGACTTCAGGACTGCTTGGTTGAACCACAGAAAGCTAGCCAGGTCTTGCCATGACCTTGACTCTCTGGGTCAGAGTCCAGGGTGGGGCCAGACGCAGCCGGTGGAGACCAACATCGTGTGCATGTTGGACTGTAACGGAGGCGTTGTTCAGCTCCCGGACACCCAAATCAGCATTCACATCCCTGAAGGCCACGTCAGCAATGGAGAACACCAGCAGATCTCCATGAAAGCCTTGCTAGACCCTCCTCTGGAGCTCAACACCGATCTCTGCTCCACAGTGAGCCCTGTGGTGGAGATCAAGCTGAGCAACATGGAGACAAAGTCCTTCCTCACGTTGGAGATAAAGGTATCGGTAACGGTCAAGAAGGAGAGTTGTCACACTGCGGATGTGCTTTGCGTTCGCAGTGACTGCAAAGAAGGGCCTTACACGCCGATCCCTAATGCGTACCTTTACAAGGACACAGTCCAGGTGCAGCTGGATGGTCTGGAGCCGTGCATGTATGTGGCTGTTGTTGTTAAGTCCCAGTACATCAGCCACAATACAACTGTTTGGGATCATGTGCAAAGGAAAGTAACTTTGGCCGTCTACGGACCCAAGCACATCCACCCGTCGTTCAAGACAGTCGTGGCCATGTTTGGGCATGACTGCGCCCCTAATACCTTGCTGGTAAACGAGGTGGGTCGCCTGGTGAGTGCTAGCCCGCCGGTGGCCCTCCAGCTTTGGGGCAAGCACCAGTTTGTGCTGGGGTACCCTCAGGACCTCCTGCTGGGGTTGTACTCCAACATGTCTAACTACGAGGTGAAGTCCTGCGAGGGGACGGGGGTGATTCGGGGGTTTCAGGTCAAACTGGGGAAAGTGAGCAGGCTCCTTTACATGATCACATCGCACAGTCCAGACAGCATTTCAGATTTTACACTCAGGGTCCAAGTTAAGGACGCACTTGACTGCATCCTCACGCAGTTCTGCGTCCAAACACCACCACCGCCACCCAAAACCGAAGCAAGGATATCAGGCCAGAGGAGGTTTCTAAAAAAGAGAGAGGTGGATAAGATCGTCTTATCACCGCTAGCCGCCACTTCCAAACACCCAAAGTTTCAGGACCGGTGCATCATCAACCTGAAATTTGGCAAATTGATCAAAACAGTGATCAGGCAGCACAAGAGCACGTATCTGTTGGAGTACAAAAAGGGGGATGTTGTTGCTTTGCTCAGCGAGGAGAAAATCAAACTGCGAGGGCAGCTGCGGACTAAAGAGTGGTACATTGGATACTATCAGGGGAAGATGGGACTCGTCCATGCCAAGAACGTTTTAGTTCTGGGTAAAGTCAAGCCCATTTATTGGATCGGGTCGGATCTAACGACCACAGTGCTGCTGGAGCAGATCCTGAAGCCTTGCAAGTTTCTTACGTACATATACGCAACAGTGAGGACGGTGTTAATGGAGAACGTGGGCAGCTGGAGGGCGTTTGCAGATGCACTAGGATACGGGAATTTGCCGCTGAATTATTTTTGCAGAACAGAGCTGGACAACGAGCCGGAGAAAGTGGCTTCGGTACTGGAGAAACTCAAAGAGGAGTGTACGGACACGGAGAGCAAGGAGAGGAAGTCCTTCCAGAGAGAATTGATGATGGTAAGAGCAATCAGGTTTTTATTTCTTAAAACTTTCTGTTCCTCAACCAGATTGTGTTTTTTTGAGAAACAGACAAGTCTTTTTGAGCAGCAGTTTGAATACATCTAGGACATATGGATATCCAAGCTTTGTGTTTTGGTCAATGAGACTTAGGAATCTCTTGCCTTCCAGGTGGTATTAAGCAATCATGAACTTTGAAGCTGAATCCTTATTTCCCTTAAGTTTGAAAGTACACAACTGACCTTTAAAAGTGTTTCCAGGGGGATGAATACTGTACTGCCCCCTGCATAAAGCAATGGGATGCTGCCTAAATGAGGTCTACATTTCAATAGTAATTCATCCATGTCTTGAACAGTGAATCCGATGATATTAAACAGAGAAAAGCTGTAAATGCTCCCACTTGAGACCTGAAAACAGGCTGTATATTGCATCTTTGCTTATTGAATTACTTAATTTGTTATTCTCTTTGTATTTGAGTGTAAATTCAGGATCACTAATTTGTCCTTGAACAGAACAATGGCAGTCATTAAAGTCCTAGAAACACTATCATTGCCCTCCAACTGTTAGATTGCTGTAAAGGCATTCATGCTTGGCAAAAGCATTTCCTGCACCGATAAATGTTAAAGTAAATTGTCCAGCATTATTGTGACACTGCTGCAACAGCTATTATGCTCAAATGATGTCCATTAGAGAGAGAGCATTCCTCGGATGGCTGCTTCATCGTTAGTTAAGCTTTGTTGGAGCGAAAAAAGAACAAAAATGTAATTTCATACACAGTCAGAGTCAATCGCTGTCTGATTGATTAAAGCTTCTCTGCAACATGATTTCTTTCCCCTTCAGCAGTCGAGACACAGTCTGAGTGTAAACTGGAAGGATTTCATTTTAATGCTCCATCACGTGAATGGTAAATAACTTGTGTGCCTGAGGAGGCTGACACAGGAGGAGTGAAGCGGGGAGAAAATCCTTTAAAGGGAAGCGAAGAAATAAAACTTCAATCTGCAGTTTGAGAGAAACACACGTCGGCCTTGATGTGTTTTTCTAAGTCAGCACCCACTCCCTGCGGGAAGCAAATAGTCCTGGGATTTACACTGCATCTGAAACTTGTTTCCCGCAACAAAAAGTTGCTGCTCAGTTCCCTGCCGCACTATCAACCACTCCTGGATCCGGATGTGTGTGTGAAAGTGTGTGAGTGTGTGTCCCCTGCGACATTTTCCCCAGAGAGCATTAAATTGTCATCATGCCGCAGGATCAGGGTCCAGTGAATCACACAGGCTTGAGTTACTAAATCTTCCAGAAAGAGAGAAAAGCCGTCTTATGTAATTGTTGCTCAAGAATAAAACCCTGCAGTGAAGAACCTCTGGGTTCAAAATCCTCGATTAACAAACAAACCTTTCATTCTTCTAATAATGAGGCTTTTATTCTGCACTTCAAAAATTCACTGAGAAATGTTCAGAATAAAAGTTACCCAATATATTATTCTGTGTTTCCCAGGAGATATTATGTTGCTTTATTTGAGTTTATTGGAATGAAATAGTCTTTTAGAATCAAGGAGTGATGTGTTTTCTGTAATGAGAGAGGAGGCAGACACTCTGTTGTGATTGGTCCCACCCCTTAGCCTATCACGCACAATCTGTTGGAGCGCAAGTGTTACACAGTGATGTCATAATGTTACAGAAGTAAACAAAGGAGTCCAACGGATGTGAGGGAAGAATTTAAAGTAAAAACGAGCTATAAGAGAATACATTTAAAAAAGATATTGATATGATCAGTTGAATCAGTGTGTTGGTGTTTCTGTGGGAGAGGTTCTCAGGGTTTGTGTTTTAAAAGCAGCGACAGGTGTTCTCAGGTGAAATGTGAGCAGGCATTGATCAGGACGGGCTGGGGGCCTCGGGGGCATCCGACACCGCCCTGTGGATCTTTTATCACCACGGCTTGAGTTACTGGGGCAGAGGACAAAGTAGAGAGCCTCCGCTGTTTTTCAGCTGGAGGAGAGAGCTGTTTAATAAAACATCCTGCAGGCCGTAATCCATCCTCTGCCTGGAGACTCCCGTTAAACCAATGACTTCAGTCAGAAGACTCAACAGATAATTATCTTTCTGCTGTGACACATAGTGAACATGTTGATCAAGCGCTGAATATTTCAGTTAAGTGCACCAAACAATAAAAATGTGTCTGAGAAATTTGAGCTCTTCTGCATAGCTTCAATGTGAAGTATGTCATATTACAATGAAACTGGGGAGTTTCAGAATTGCAAAATAACTTCTCATTCTTCTGGGTTTTCCCTTTTCTTTGCTTCTCTACCTGTGAGTGTTATCCCATAATAGCTTTTGGAGATGCAGCTCGCTCAGTGACAGGCGTGCGGTCAGCTGTCAGCTCCGTCTGTCCGTCTGCTCCGAGGCTTCCTGCAGGTCTCAGCATATCGGATGATTTTCAGACGCTTTGGTCTCAAACGGAGCAGATTTATCTATTTTTAGAGCAGAATCATGTTGTCAGCTAATAACGTGGACCACACCGACCAAAACCAGGCTGCAAACGGAGATAAAATATGTGTGATGTGTTTACTTCTAAATGTATGGCATGATTCATACATGCAACAACCTTATGTCATATATCAACGTTTACTAGCATGAATTAATAGTCATGCATTGGTCAAATTTGGCATTTTGCTGCTATTTCGCTTCCATAACATGTCGTCTTTCAGGAAAAGCAACTCAAATACACCTTTATTTTAAAATGTCTATTTGCTTCTGATTCCACATTTTCTCTATTATTTGCTCAATGTTTTCATTTAACAAATGACCAAAAAACACAAAAATATGAATGTAACAAGGGAGGGACAAATCAGTATAAAGTGTTGTCTTTTTAAATCAGATTGGAGTGATTGAGGACATCTCTCGAAACAGACCCTGAAATAAATGTATTTTCTATATTCTCGTGGATGTGAGTAATCAGACGGGATGAATCACATCGTGATGCGTTCAGGGTGCTGCTGTTTATTATTTTCCTAAAGGCCATTAAGACAAATCTTTTCTGAGGAGTTTCACGCAACTGCTGAGCTGGAATGAAGAGTTATTTATTTCATAAAGCAGCGCATAATCCATCAATATGTTCCCATGCTTATTATGTTGACAACTGAAGTCCCATTACATTTACCATCACTTCAGATTCCTCCATTTTTATTAGTGCATCATTTGATTCCTGCATTTTATTGCTCCTTTGCAGTATTTTATTTCTTCTTGTGCCATTTTATTAACGCATATTGAAATTCTTACATTATTGTACATCCTGCATCTTTTTGACTGCCATGCTTTAAGCACCAACACTGTATAATTGTCTGCAAAACTAAATGCCGCACCTCATCTGTGAACTTCCCTGGAGTCTGGGCTGCCTTGTTCTTGATATTTAGTCTCAATTTCTAGCTTTTCATGTATATTTTTGAGTATAATTTGAAATATCTTTTAGTAAAATCCCCTGAAATGTTTGTTAGAGCTTGGCCGGATCACAGTGAAAAAGGAGGAGACACATTTCCAGAGTGTATCCGCTCGCTTGCTGCTTTCTGCAGAGAGAAATCTCCTGCAATGAGCCTGAAAGGTATCACTGCAGGACACAGCTTCACTTTGAAGTGTGTGTGTGTGTCCTTGTGTGTGTGTGTGAAGATACAGTATGCCTGCAGCAGCTGCTTTTTTATCTTATCTCCGGGTGGACACACGCTGCCTTTTCTGCTTTTGATAAAACTTTTTTTTTTTTTAATCTCGCCTACAGTGTGTTTTGCAGTCAGCTGCTGTTGTTAACTCTCAGACTCTACTTTAAACCGGGTTAGCTGCATATTTACAGCCTGAGGGTCAGCACTACTTACAGCAGGGGGATTATATTCATAAAGAGGTTTTTCTTTAGAAACTGTGTTTAACCTCTTAACGTTGACATTTAGCCCTGTGACAAACAGGACTCTATCTAATGAGGCATCATGCAGGATAGGAGAGGACCACAAACACACATTTCCTACACAAATGTTGAATGTATCCCTCTGTGTCTCTCCCCTCCTCCAGGCGCTGCTGAAGATGGACTGTCAGGGTCTGGTGGCGAAGCTCGTGCTGGACTTCGTGCTGCTGACCACGGCGGTGGAGGTGGCGTCCCGATGGAGGGAACTCGCAGAGAAGCTGGCCCGAGTTTCCCGACAGCAGATGGAGGCGTACGAGGCTCCGCACCGAGACAAGAACGGACAACTGGACAATGAGGTGAGTGCTATGTATTGATTTCTCATTCAGTTTGTGACTGCTGCGGTGTTCCTGTATCGGTAAACAATACAAAATACAATCCCCTCTGTCTCCTTCACCGTTTAGTCCATGTGGAAGCCGGCCTACGACTTCCTCCTGACGTGGGCCGCCCACGTGGGGGACAGCTACCGGGACGTGATCCAGGAGCTGCACCTGGGCCTGGACCGGATGAGGACCCCCATCACCAAGAGGTGGAAGCACCTGACGGGGACGCTGATCCTCGTCAACTGCCTGGACCCGCTGCGGGGCGCCGCCTTCTGCCCCACCGGGTACGGCGACTTCGCCGTGTGAACATCCACCTGCAGAACTTTTGAAAAGCCTGTCTGCTTCGAGGGACACTGGAGATCAGCGTCTTGGACTTTGAAGACAATTTCAGGGCGGAAAGTCTTCAATTTTCAGGTCAGATCTGCAGGTCCTGGTCTTCTTTTTGGAGTATTGGATTCAGTATCATCGATTAATAGATGTTCAAACACCGTCGAAAGGTAGTTGGTAATGAAAAAGTCAAAGTGAAAGTGATGCGTCTTGTTACATGAATCCTTCTACCTTTTTACTCTTCTTCATCTCTTTGTCAACTCACTGTTTGTCTGTATATATTTTTCAAGATTTCGAATTTATTACAGTTTGTTTAAGTCGTTTTTTCCGTCTCCAAACCTTCCTCAGGACAACAGCAGAGACCTCAACCACTGCAATACATAACCTCACAAACTGTGACCTTTGGCCATCTGTAAACATTCATTTGATCCCCATACTGAACATTTGTTTGCAAGCCAAACAATGCTAACTCTACATGTGACCCAGTGTCGTTTTTACAGTTTATCTTATGCAAGATATACTTAGAAGAAGAACAATACAGAGGATGTGTTATCCACAGTGTTATTGTGGACATGTTTTGTGATTCACACCACGTTTCAGCTGTGTTACAGAATCACAATCGAAATTCTAATATGTTCTTTCCAACTAAAAACCAAAAGGAGCATGCACACCTGGATGTTAAGCCAACAACATCCAGATAATAAAATGTTTGAGTATTAAATTCTTGCATTTATTCGTAGTGCATCCAATATTTTCCAGATTTCCAACTTTTGCACACACAAATGTTCTCTTTAATTAAAGATGATGTGATAAAGATAGACCTTAAATGCATTTAAGTCCTGCTGAAGGTGATTTCATGTCACTTTTTTCATGCAAAATCAGTATTTTCTAAACTTCTGACTTAAAGTGCATCTTAAAAGTGCAGCATGAATACAATTGTTATCATTTCATGGAGAGTTCATGTTTGAATTAAAACAGTATAAGTCAGAATTAACAGGCGACCACAGTTTATTGCTTAAATAAATGAAATATGTGACTTTAAACTGTGAAAACTAGTATCAGAAAATATCTAGTTTTTGTTAACTGTATATTTAAAGAAGCTTAACTTGTGTTTTTGAGCATTTTCTCTGATTTTGTGCTCTCAGCAAGTATAATGAGTTGTCTTTGATGCTTTTGTTGTTCATTTCGACATCTGTTTTCATTTCTCATTCAGTATTTGTTGTTCTTGTTTCATTTCAATATGTTTTGTGACTGCTGCAGTGTTGCTATCTGTTTGGATTATGAACAGAGAAATGTGCGAGGAGTTTATATATTTGTACTAAAGCCTGTCTCTGATCTGTTTCTGTTCAGAAAGTTTCAATAAAACTGGAAATGAAAAATAATATGCAAGAACAATCACTGTGTGCATGCAGAAGAGGAAAAGGCCATTTCAACTTTATTTTAAGTTTATCTGGACATTAAATCACGCTGATATTTTGTAATATTTGTAGTAAAACTACATGAAGATCTAATGAAATTGTCCAAAACAAAGTTGGCTGTTAAAGTTCTTGTTTTTACACCTTTTAAGTGTTTTTATGACTGGAATACATTTTTTTGCATACTATAATTGCATTTGAAGTTTGCATGCATTTTGCATATGTTCTTGTTGCCATGCTAGCAGTTTCCCTCCTATGCAGTCTTTATGCTAAGCTTATACCGACATCTCTGTATTTATGAGATGAAACTGAATTCCATCTACTCCTCTAGCTGTGCCTAAAACAGCAAACATATGTTGCTAAAAATGTGACTGACAAAGGGTTGCAGAATGTGCAGATTATGCCTCCACTGTGACTGCCTGCAGGAGAGCGTTCATGAGTGAATTGTATCATGTTTTTCTATCAAATCCTCACAGACAATACAGCACATTCCTGCATGTAAACACACACAGAAAACACGTCAAAATATCACACATGCACAAACACTACATGTGAACGCACCCGAATCCATCCTCATATGCTCTCTTTCCCAGCCACACAATCATCCTCTACACACACTCACACACACTCAGACTTAATGTGCTTTAATTAAAGCAGATAATTATTCACCCTGAGAGGACAGGCCACCTTGACCGAGCCTCGCTGACTCACCCTCAGCATTCCTTCCTGTTGCCTGGATACTTGAAACCCTTTTTATTGCATGCACAAGGGAATAAAAAAGACACTTAATAAGCTGCTATATATTAAAAAGAGTGCATCAATCTCCTCGCACTGTGCGCAGACAGGCATGCTGTTTACAGATTCCCTTTGCACCCAAAAAGAAATATGTATGTGGAGATGGAAACTTAAACCTGGTGCTTTCTCACCTCCTGAAGATTCTGCATGAATTAAGAAGATGCACATTGTGCAGAAATCAATTAATTGATCACAAAATCTACCCACAGGCTCACAGGTATTAATCTGCAGTTCATCTAATCAGACGATCAGAGTGATGTGAGAGGGGACAACGTGATTTTTACAAGCCGCTCTATATTCTGGACAAATTGGAGACACAGTTGAAAAGGAGAGCAGGTGGTGAGATGAAAAGCTTTGGGGCGAGCCGCCGGCCTGTTTCATCTGCTTTTATCAAGTGTTTGTGTGGAAGCAGGCCAGGCTGGTTTCACCTTGTGGGTCTGGAGAAAGAATAAAGAAAAGCCCTTTATCTGCTAAAGGAGTATTGGTGCTGAAAACTTGACTTTGAAGGGGCCCTATTCTGCTTTTAGGATGTTCCCTTTCCCGTGGTGTGTCAGTAAGGTGTTGCTGGTCTGCAAAGGTTCAAATGCTTTTGTTCCCTCCAGGTTTAGTCTTTAAATCTTCTTGTGCTTTTTTGTATTGCTTTGGGTTTTCTTTCAAATATTTCCAGTATGATCTTAATTATTTGTATATCCCCCCTTGTTGCATCAGGTGAAGCACAGAGGGTTAACCTGCTTGTAGTGGGAGAAGCATGTCGTGTTTTAACCTTTCTCAACATCTGCCAGCCGCTTGTCGTCTGTTACCTGAGGAACAGCGAGGACGAGTGGAATACATTAGAGGTAAATAGGCCTCTTGTTTTATGGATGAGACGATGTGTGGGCGGTGGGTGAGGAGACACATTCAGGAGCCTTGTTAGAGGGAAAGTGTGTGAGTTTATAAAAGCAGGGTGTGTGTGTGCATGTCTACGCCCTGCTTATAATTCCTTTCATCGATCTCACACACTCTCATTAGCAGGGGGATCGATGGAGGAGGAGGGCAGGGGGGACAATTAGCGTCAGTGTTATTGTCTGTTTGTGTGTGTGTGTTCAGGGACTGCTTTAACTTATTAGAGCCTCTCCAGGTGTTTTACTCCATTCTTCAACATAATGAGAGCGTGTTGAAGGTTTCATTTGTGCATTTGGAGCAAACGTAATGTACAGATGGCTGCAAAGACACTCGAACCTGCTGTAATGCAAAGCAGTAGTCTGAAAGTTGCTGTTTAAATAAAGTTATAAATCATCTAACAGGAGTCTGTCAATCAAGCCGGATCTGACCACGCCCACATAGGCCAATGCGGAAGTAAATAAGCCAGGTGAAAAAATCCTCCGTGTGTGTGTTTTGGGGGATTTAAAGCTACATTAAAGTCAAGTTAATAACAATTATACAGCCTTAGAGTTTATTTACAGTCTGTGTCCTGCACTATGAGGCCCCATCTATCTGCAGACCCTCGATTTGGACACGTCTTCAAACACCAAAGAAAAACTTGACAGACAGGTGCTGTATGAACACAGAATTCACATAAATGTTGTTTTCACATTCCCAAAATCTCCCCAGGTCGATGTTATCATTTTAAGTCTAACTTTAATGCAAAAACTTAAAACTTTGAATCAAAAATGGTTTGGTTTCCTGTGGTTGATAAGGGTCTAATCCTGTTATGCAACATACTGCTGCTCTCTAGTGGCAGACACATGCAAGGACACTGAACAAAAAAAGTGACATTTTTAAATTAGATGGTTAAAATCCTTTTTATTGTTGTCAGATGTTCCAGTATTGTATTATATGCATCCTCGGCAGTTTATTTCATGTACGACAAGGTCATTCCCCCCCCCAATAGTATTAGTTAGACCAGTGCAAACTGATAAAATGTATTGACCTGTATTGCCTAGACTAGAGGATATGAGCAGCAGAACAATTCTTCCTATGGAAAGAGTAACTAAATGCGTTTTCCAAATAAACTAATACGAATTCAATATAATTATATCTATTACAAATGCGCAAACTATAAAACAATTGTTTAAAAAGTATTTCCAACTAGTTTTGTCCTTTTCCTTTTCATGCAAACATGGGGTCCTAACTGGTTCTTTGTCACATAAACTATTTAAACGGTATGTTATTATAAAAACACACAGCATCAGCAGCCTGCAGTTTATATAGTTCACCACGAAGTGTCAGACTTTAGCAACTCATAGTGCGCAGAGGAAACACGAAAACCAAAACAGGAATGAATGCTTTCCAAAATAAAACCCTGTCCAAGATGCGTCAGGGAGGTTTACATCAGAACAGGAGAGGCTTTTATTTTTTAGGAGCCATTGCTTAACCAGAAGTCTTATTTTGTAGTGTTCTACTTCAGCTTTACGCATCTTTTCATGGCATAATTTAGAGGCTGATCCACGCGTCACACACCATCACTCGTGTTTGTCTGTGTGTGTTATTACACGAGGACAGCTGCTACGCACTTGGAGACACGATGTGACATTTGGCCACGCGTAATTTGGCGCATTTGGAGAGCTGTGCGCACCGTGCATGCACCGCTTTGCATGCGATGTTTTGACTGTGTCTGTGCGCCTGTTGGAGTGAGTCCAAGGATGCTGCGGCTTATCTGGCTGCCGGAGTGCCGCCGCGCAACACGGGGCTGCACCATCCACATGTGCTGAGCAGGAGAGGCGCGGATCAGGCGCGTTGTCACACCTTGTGGTCTGGTCGCACTATGGATCACTCCCGGGACATTTGAGCATCTCCTGCGTGTCCTTCCCAGGCTGCACCATGGGGAACAGCTTCACTAACCTGGGTGCCTTCCAGTCTTTGCACATAGTCATGCTCGGTTTGGACTCTGCGGGGAAAACCACCGTGCTGTACCGGCTCAAATTCAACGAGTTCGTCAACACGGTGCCCACCATCGGCTTCAACACGGAGAAGATCCGGCTGGGAGGAGCGGGGGCCTCCCGGGGCATCAGCTGCCACTTCTGGGACGTGGGGGGCCAGGAGAAGCTGCGGCCCCTGTGGAAGCCGTACAGCCGCTGCACGGACGGCATCGTGTACGTGGTGGACTCGGTGGACGCGGAGCGGCTGGAGGAGGCCCGCACCGAGCTGCACAAGATCACGCGTTCAGTGGAGAACCAGGGCACCCCGCTGCTGGTCATCGCCAACAAGCAGGACCTGCCCCGGGCTCTGGATGTGGGGGAGATCGAGAAGCAGCTGGCCCTCTCAGAGCTCCCCCCCTCCACCCCCTTCCATGTCCAGCCGTCCTGCGCCATCATCGGCGAGGGGCTGGAGGAGGGCATGGATAAACTGTACGAGATGATCGTGAAGAGGAGGAAGTCTCTGAAGCAGAAGAAGAAGAGGCCGTGATGGCGTAGACATATATAGAACTTTGCAGAAATATAGATACAGCTCCAGTTAAAATAAAGTGACCACTGCAACTGGTTTGACTATCTATAGGAATCTATTTGAGTAAATTAACATTTTTGTTTTATTCTCTAAACTTCTGACAACATTTCTCCCAAATTCTCCTTTTTGCTTTAACGTCAAATACAGTTATGTTTACAATTAATATAAGTATGTTTTTATACATCTATATTTATTTATCTTTTATTTTATTTATGCAATTTTGATTGGCATCATTGCATTCATTTATTTATGCAAATTGAATTACTATTTTTGGAAATGTGGGAGCGATGTCAGTAGTTTAGAGAATAAAACAAAAACGTTAATTTAACTCAACTTTATACCTATAGATAGCAAAAAAGTGGTTTCTTAATTTCACAGCTTTACATATAGCAGATATATTAAAAAAAAACACAATGAAGCAGAAATATCATCATAGTCTCCATATATTACATAAATATATTAATATAGTGATGCTAAAACATATTGTCACTCATTAGGATATATGATTGTATATGAATGTTTTAGAGGGACATAAGGAAAGAGAGCTGTCTTAACTCCATTTACCAACATTTAAATGGACAGAAAACAACTAAATCAAAAATATGATTGACAGAAACACACAAAAAAGTGATTATAAATGTCATCTTCTTGCCTTGTTAAACAGTTTGAACCTTTCCTTACAGGCAGATAGTGTCTCTAAGTCCCTGATGTAGAAATATACAAATAAGACTGTTTTATTAGGGATACTTTATAGATAATATAACGAGACTGTTGTTAATGTGATGCTGAGAGATGGTGTTGCACCAAAGAAGATTCCCAGAGAAGACAAACCTCTTCCATCCATCCTCCACTTGTATTTGTTCCTGTCTGACTTTGACTGTTTCCCTCAGTCCATAACAAGCGTTTTATATTTTACATGAGCATTTAACTCCTTGATTTTAGCAGCAACACTTCATTTCTTCCAAGAAAAGTAACAACTAGTCGCACAATCTGAATTTGCTGCACCATCAATTAATGCTAACTAATCTCCAGAAGCAGTTTGCTGCCAAATACTTGCAGAGAGCTCATCCAGTGGCCATCAAAAAAAGCTTGATTTGTTGCAAATGTATATACAGGGATATGGAAACTCAGATTAATGTAGCTATATGTGCAGAAGATTCTCATTTGTACGGTTTCCAACAGGTGCAAACGCATTTGAACAGTCCTTACATTAGGAGAAACACACTGCAGCTTCAGAAGCGATGCAAATAGAAAAACACAAAAGTGTCAAAGTACATGCAAATGAGGAAACATCTTCTGCAACTTGACAAAGCATGCGCAGCGTTTACTAAAAGCGCTGCATATAAACACTGCAAGAAGGAAACGGGGACGGAAACGGGGACACTAAAAAGTGACGCACACAGCTGGGAGCGGCTTGTTGATGTTCTGGGATTATAATGTCGTCTAACTATCAATGTTGGCAGAGTTAGTCAGTCTCTCAGTATATTTGAAATGATTAAGTTAGTTAAATTAGCTAGCTAGCTTACAGCGGCTATTATATCTGAAGGACATTGTTAAAATAAGACCATAAAACATTTTACAACAGTGACAGCTGGGCAGCTTTCGAATCTCCGAACCTCAACAAGCGCTCCGCTCCCAGCTGTGTGCGTCACTTTTGAGTGCAGTGTTTTGTTTATCCAGCGCTTTTAGTAAACGCTGTTCATGTGTTGTCAAGTTGGTGAAGATGTTTCTCCATTTGGATGTGTTTTGGCACTTTTTGTATTTGCATAGTTTCCTCCTAGTGTAAATGTTTTGTATTGTAACACGTTTGCACTTGTCGGCCACCGTACATGTGAGCCAAAAATGCAGGTGTAAAGATTAGTGCCATGGCTGGGAAGGGTCTTTTTATTCTTGTTTAAATTACCATTTTATCTCATGATAAGCTTCCGAACAAATGGACTTCAAATGCAAACTATGATTGTGCATTGTGAGTGTTTCACACAAGAAGAAATCACAGTGTAGTCGTGATTTTATCAGAAAGATCAAAGTGTCTTCCTGTAACGATGAAACACAGCGACAGGCTGGAACCTGTTCTCTTATTGAATGATATTCAATCATAAAGTGGTCTTCCAGTTGAGTTATAAACTAGTTTTAAAGTTAAATGAGTACCTGTAATTCAGTCCACAACCCTGATAATGTTGCAGCTTGCAGAAAAGATAAAGAAATGTCACAGAAAATAGAATTAGTCTTACTGACAGGACTGTTGAATGTCTCAGATGGAGTCATTTCTAATGCCGTGTTCACGTCAGAATAAAAAGAGGAATTGCTGCAGCTCCATCTTCACAAAATAATATGGATTTTAAGTGATAAACTGCAGCATGTTTTTAGGTTAATCTGGTAATTTAATATTTAAGAATGCTGAAAAAATGCCCATTTATAATAACCACAAGGGGCAAGATATTTCATGATATTCCCGACATGAATCCGACGTGAACGTAGCATCTTTTTCTCTGAAGTAATCGAGCTGTTGTCAACATTGCATGACACACAATGTAAATTATACAGTACAGTGTTACAGCCAAGATACAGCAAGACCAAACAATGTGCCAAAAATGGAAAAAAGTAAAAATATTTTTGGGATTAAAGTCTTTGTAATTAACGTGTGTGTGTGTGTGTCTGGCGCGTGTTTTATTATTCTAAAGCTTCAGGGCGGGAATTTCCCAACAGATAAGTGCCAGTTGTGTGTACTGTTGTAAGTTATTATTAAACATTATTTACTTTATTACTCACAATATAAAGTACATTCTTCATATGACCCACTTTAACAACATGCTATAACTTTCAAATTGAATAAAATAGTAATACAGACATAAGAAATTAGGTTAAAAACGTGGACATGTGCAAAAATAAAATATTTAAATACACATAAGAAGATCTGATCAAAATGTGTACGCTGTATAACAGTAAATGTAAAATATATGTATGCTACAAATATGCAGTGTCAAGAATTTCCAGGAACATGAATAACATGTTTTCTGTCTCGAGATAAATGTGCCTCCCCTCCGTCTCTGCAGTGTCTGCTGCGTGACTTCCTAACCTCTTATTATTATGGTCTGTGAGACTGTGAGCCGCTGTCATGTCAGAGTGGAACCACTGACGTGTGAAACGACTGTTATTTACTTGTTTTGGGAAATTGCACCATGTACTTTGTGTTCCTAGAATAAGACGTTTTATCTCTCCTCAGGGATGTAAGTGTCTGGAAGTAAAGGAGGGGACGCATTTATCTGGAAATCAGACATATTTAAAATCTCAGGAACTGTGTTTATAGACAAAACAACACTGGTTTAAGTCTAGAAAAGGCAAAGAAATCTGCTTTGATCGCTTTTTGGAGAACTCACATGCAACCTTATTGGGAGTCAAAGGTCAAAGCAGTGTTTTAGATTCACAGATTACACATTTACACAGAAATGATCTACAATATCATCATATTTCTCCATTAAACTGCAATTTGATTAGTTAGCGATTCAAGTTTTTTCCCTAAGCTTTTCTTGATCTTGATAAACGTTAATCTCTGCTTTGCTTCTGTTTCGATGATTTCTCCAATAACACTGTCCTAAAAATAACCAATGTTGCATATACATATGGAGAGAAAATCCTCTTTATTGTGCAGGCTGTTTAAAACCCACTCTGAAAGCTTTACAGACTCTTGTTTGTTCCAAATGGAGACACGTTGGAAATGAACTCTGCGTATTAAAATGCAAATTGTGCTGCAGATAGATCCAGTTGGTTTTGCATCAGAATTCATTCACACACACACAGAGTGAGGAGTGTGTGTGCAGTTCAGGCGGAGGATAATCCAGCTGAGTTTTCAGGGTGAACCCAGAGTCAGTGCTGACGTCACGCTGCATTTAAAACACGTTCATTATCATTTTAATTACAGGCTGCGAGCAGAGGAGAACGGGAGGCGCTGAACGTTTACAGCTGAAAAATGTCACTTATTTTTTAAGTCAATTACTGTCTATAAGAAAATAGATCAAATCAAAATTGCAAGTTTAAGATGTGTTCAATTCTTAATGTTTTAGCATTAGATTTTTTTTGTATTGCTTTTTTACAGTGTATGGCGGGCCAAAAGAGGACAAACAAAAAAAGAGATAACTTAATAATTTAATATATTTTTATAGAAAACACAAAGTATTCAAATTTAAAAAAGAATATAACAAAACATTTTTTTTAATATAATATATAGTCCAATCTAAATCCTTTTTAAGACTGAAGATGTATGACTTTAATGACGACTGTTTTGAGGAGCGTGTCATTAGCGTGTTAAATTACACGGCACACCTCTGTAACCCAGAGGGCGGGACCCTCTCCCAAAGGATGCTGGGAGTTGACAGAAACAAACCTCAGACTGTCTGTCACTGCGTCAGATTATTTTAAGTGAATTTGTCTGGAGAGGATACCGTCTCTGAAACAGATTTATGGCTATATATATAACCTGTATTTTAAACCAAGAAGGGCTTTATCATGATTGCATAAATAAATGTGAAAAACTGAAGACATATCTTAATAGCTGCAAAAAGTCCAGAAGGAAAGTAGCAGGGGTAAAGTCACATAACTGATCATATCTGCAACAGGAAATACAAGAGGAGGAGAAGGTTTATTCATATTAACTGATGACAGATAATATTCAACTAAATCTCATCCTGGAATAACTTAATGTGACGGAAATGGAAAAACAACCCCCCACAGGAGCGGACAAATAATCACAAATGTACATGAGCAGTTTGTTTATAATGTAGGCCTACTTAATGTACGGAGTGAAGGTAAAGAAAGCATCTGTGCATATACAAACTTTATATTTGTTTAGATTTGAGGGGTTAGAGTTCACTGTGACCTCACAAAAACATCTGTATGGACCATAACTTTAAAGATACTTGCTCATTATGACAATATCCCACAAAATATCTAATAACAGGATGTAATGATAAAGTGAAGTCTTCCCCAAAGTTGCACAGTTTGTATACATAAAGTAAGACTTAAGCATTAATCAGTGAAACAACAGAATAATAGAATATAAATTCTATTATTTGATTTATTTGGGAGGCGTGTGGTGCAGGTTCAAACCCCACTGCAGTCAGCATGTCGTTGTGTCCCTGGGCAAGACACGTCACCCCAAATTGCTCCTGTGGGGATTGTCCACAGTATTGAAGTCGCTTTGGATAAAAGCGTCTAACAAGTAACATGTAATGTAATGTAATATTTCTATTTACATTAAACAGACTTATGATACTTTAGCTCCTTCTTGTGGCCACACTTATGTCCCGCACCCCGAGTGGCAATAAACTGCCCTATGTTGTTTCCCTTTATCTTAAAAATATAATAATATATTATAACAATGCATTATATGAACCCTGCAAGGACAAAACAGGAGTATAAAATAAGGTTAATGTCAGGAATGAACAGGTTACTTTTAATCGCAGGATGTTGCTTTTGTTTAAAATCCTGTTGTTATTATGATAAATTGCACAAAACTACTTTAATATGTGCATCCTAGATTATATGTTACTATCAACTGGAAAAACAACATAAAAAACAATTGTTCTTGTTGGTTTTTGTTGTAAGCTTCACTGTCTGGATGTCAAAGCTCACTTTATTAATAAACTGCCTAAAGTCACTAGCTATTTGCAAATGTCTGATACTGTTTTTCTTTCTAGGGTAGGGTAGAGATACGATATAAACTGTAATTTGATAATAACGGATGTCTTAAGATCAATTATTTTGGCATAAATTGGCATTTTTGTTCTCATGACACACAGCAACATAACCTCAAATGACCTGAAAAAGACTGATGTTTGCCTGCCAAACACAGTGCAGGTTAATTATTTATTTATTTTATCACATAACATGCTGCAGAGGAATGTAGGCCATCTACAGAAATGTTTGTAGGCCTATAGGTATATATTGTATAACAATCTTTAACTCACAGAGCCAAAATAAACACTTTAAGCAGCAGTGAAGGGGACGTGAAGCGCAAAAGCATGAGATAAAAAAAGTACAAAAACACTAGAATTACAGTGAATGTAGTAATTCACTGTGAATCATTAAGCTAATTCTGTGTCTTTGCAGGTCCTTTAAGGTGAAAGGTGGGCGTTTGTGGATCAAGTCAGAAGGAAGCAGCCGTTCAGTTATAAACAGGAAGTTGACTGAGAATGAATCCAAAATAAAAGCATCAGGTTTTCACTGTGAGCGCTGACCAAAAAGATACATTTATTTCACAACAACATACACTTATGGTTAAATAGTATAGTTTAGTGTATCATGTAATGAACAAATGAGTGAACATTGAAATGAATGTCACTAAAGAATACTTAAGAAAAGTTCCAGTGTCGTACAGTATTTGAAAATGCTGGACACAAATTAATGTATTTCCCAGGTTCGTTGGTTTTATTTTGAAAGTTCCGACAGCCAGAAGTTCTGTTTTATTCACACTGACTTTATCTAGCGTTGACAAAGTCGTGTCTTGCATTTGGAAGATGTCTGCAGAGAAAGAGGGAGATATGTTGTGCTTTTTTATCAACGGGAAAAAGGTACGCATTTAATAAACAGATAACCATGTTTGAGGTAGTTTTAGCTGTTAGCCAGTAATTTTTTCAGCTAAAGTCTGTCACAAATGCTGCAAATTAGTTTACACGAATGTTAAAAGTTGTATTTTTGACTCATAAAACAGTGTGAGGGATTTAGAGAATTAGAATACACGCTTAAATTGAACTAAAAGTAGTTTTTAAGTCATGAACTGCAAACGGTGACCCCTCAGAATCTGGGACGGAAATGGATTTAAAAAATAATAGCTCCAGAAAAACAGTTTTAGCATCACACAACTGTTACATTTTATGAAGAAATACTTATATCTGACAAACCTAAACTACTTTTTGTTATATTTTCTGAGAAAAAAAAGGCCCTTGTGATACAAAAACCACAATAAAGTTAATATTAGATTGCAATATATTACATTAGGTTCAAGGCTCAAGGCTTGTATTGTCTTTATAGCTACAGTTAGGACAATGATATTCTGAGGTCACAGGCTCCTCCAACAGTGCAACACAATACAACAGATAACATAGTACAGGTAAATAAAAATAAAATACAATATAATAGAAAATGCAGAATAGCAGAATTCATTGAGATTAGATGTAATTAATTGATCTCAGATTGGGAAATTATATTGGTATAAGAAGCAGAATTTAAGAAAGCATTTAATACAAACATATCAATATAAATGTATGTGTATCTATTGATTATATAGACATCCTTGCAATACTTTAAGCTCGGGAAGCTCTGGACATTGAGCATGTTTCTCAATGTTGTTCTTTTTTTTACTTAATGATAGAGAAAATATGTTTTGTCTCAACTGTATTCAGTTTTCTGTCAAGGTGGGATTTGGTTTGCATGTGTGATATTTTCTTTGGATGCAAAGTAAGTTTAATAAGAGAAATATTTACCTTGTGTTAAACAGGTAACAGAGAAGAATGCTGACCCTGAGACCATGCTGCTGTCCTTCCTCAGAGAGAAGCGTATCCTTTCAGACCAAACACACACACACACACACACACACACACACACACACACACACACACACACACACACAAAATAACAAACTGTAACACTGTGCAATAACAATGAAATGTGCAATACACAGGCTTCTGCAATTAATTTGTATTACTGGCTGCAACAACACTACTTTGTATATGTTCCCCTACTTTAAAAAAAAAATAATGCTGCTACTTATTTGTTTACATTGCATGCATAGTTATTTGATTTTAGTTTATTAAGTGTGCTTGCATCTTGGTTATTTCCCTTGACGGTGGCTGCAGTGAGGTTAACGGGAACTAAGTCTGGCTGCGGGGGGGGAGGCTGCGGGGCGTGCACCGTCATGGTGTCCCGCTACCAACCTGCCACCAAAACCATCATGTATCCTTTCTGATAACAATGGAGGACCACTGGAGTATATTGAAAGGTTTTCTGCAGAACACACAGTTTCCCTTCACCTTACTTTCAGGCATTTCTCAGCGAACGCCTGCCTGCTGCCGCTCTGCTCACTGCAGGGAGCCGCTGTCACCACCGTAGAGGGGGTCGGCAGCACCAAGAGCCGCATCCACCCGGTGCAGGTCAGTGAGGGACGCCTTGCTCATGAGCACCTCAGCATTAAGTGCTGAGGGGGAAGAGAGCGATCATTTGCTTCCTCCATTTCCCAAAGTTATGTGCATGCATGTTACAGCAACTGTAAATGCCTCTGGATGTACAGCCCCAAACACACTTCCCTTTTAATGCAAAACACACCTTCGTCAAGGAACAAATGTATGAGTTAAAGATTTTCTTTTTGATGCTGTGCTTTTTTAGGAGCGGATAGCGAAGGCTCACGGCTCTCAGTGCGGTTTCTGCACCCCGGGGATGGTGATGTCGATGTACACCCTGCTGAGGAACAAACCTCAGCCCAGCATGGAGGACATCACACAGCACCTCGCCGGTCCGTCTGCTGGATTTTTATTCATAATAAGCATATATAGCGCACCTTTAAAAATACAACACACAACAAGAATTACATGTTAAAAGCAGATCTGAAAATGTGATTTGTGATTTTAGAAATTGGTGCAGTCGTGCCTTTTCCATGAATCCAGCTATTTATATCCATGTGAAAACACCAGGTGATTATTAATGAAGTCTCACAAATCTGTCATGCCTCCTTATTCTGTGTTTTGTTTTTCCAGGAAATCTGTGTCGCTGTACTGGATATCGGCCCATTATCGACGGCTGCAGGACTTTCTGTCAGGTACAAAGCTCCGCTCTGCAGGGAATACAAGTTATATCATTCTGTTTTTGCATGACTGTGTCACCATGCATGGGCTAGCAAACACAAGGAAAAACATTAACATAAGTATGTGATTAATTTAACTGCAACTAAAACCAACAGGAAGAAAACTGCTGTCAAGCTAATGGAGCTAGAGACTGTTGCCTCAATGGAGACACAAATGATGATGAAGCAGAGCATGTAAGTTTAAGTAAAAATAAATGTCTTGCTTTTCTAGTTATTTGTCTTTTTTCTATTTCCCTTTTTTTAAGCATTTTGAAAAACAAATAATGTTTTTTAAGGATCTGAGGAATGAAAAAATACATTCACTTACTAATCTTGCCATGGTGTCCCATGTATCATATTAAATGCTTGTTTTATCTCCTCTCTCAATGTTCTGCAGGAAAAGCCACGGTTGTTCAACAAGGATGAGTTTCTTCCTCTGGACCCGACCCAGGAGCTTATCTTCCCTCCTGAACTGATCGTAAGACATGAGATCTTTTTTCAGGCAACAATAAGTTCAAATGTAACACACTGCTCAGAGTGTTTACTCACAGAGGGTCATTCCAGGTCGTGTTTATCCAATATTGTTCCCATCATGAAGCTGCAGTATTAAAATGCAACTTTCTCCACAGCTGATGTCAGAGAGCGCGAGCCCACTGAGCCTCACCTTCCAGGGGGAGAGGATGCGCTGGGTGTCCCCCTCCTCCCTGCAGGAGCTGCTGCAGCTGAAGACCAGAAACCCTGCAGCTCCTCTGGTGATGGGGAACACAAACATAGGTCAGATTGTTTTTAGGTTAATTCAGACTTTCTGCAGCTGTTCCTTTGACAGTTTATCACAAGTACAAAACAGTCATAGGATCATAAGTAGGCATGATGTAGTGAGTCATTACTGTCCAAGTTGACCTACACTCTGATTCCTGTTAAAGGTCCAGATATAAAGTTTAAAGGCACCGTGCATCCGCTGATAATCTCTCCAACCAGAGTGATGGAGCTGTTTGAGGTCACTCAGACTCCACAAGGTGGGTAAAACACATTTACAATTTATATTTGTACATAATTATCATACAGATAATAATTCTGCCTGCCAGTGCAGAGTATAAAAGTACAGAGTTTTTTTTCTAAACTCCTCTCCACAACTTTTCAGGTGTTTGGGTGGGGGCGGGCTGCAGTCTCTCTGAGCTTCAGTCTCTCCTGGAGAAGCTGCTGCTTCAGAGTCCGCAGGAGAAAACTGAGCTGTTCAGAGCTCTGATCCAACAGCTGGGGAACCTGGGAAGCCAGCAGATCCGTAACGTTGCTGTAAAAACACTCTACTAATTTATTATCTAGTATCAGAGAAATATTAGTCCCTTCGATTTAGAGGATGTATTTACAAAGCATGAAGAAGAATTATAGATAATATATTTTTATTTTTGCTTTTACACGTTTAGTCTCTTGGAGGCAACATCATGAGCGCGTTCCCAAACTCAGACCTGAACCCTGTTTTAGCTGCTGGGAGCTGCAGAGTGAGCGTCATTTCTAACGGTGAGTAGATTTCTGGTAGAAGATCCGCAGTTCAAACTTTCAAAAAATGAAGATTAATATCAGACACTTTTGCTCCTTTTTACCAGGAGGAAGACGAGAGGTTCCTCTGGATCAAAACTTCTTCGTGAGCTTCGGTAAAACCATCCTGAAGCCAGAAGAGATTGTGCTTTCTGTCTTTATTCCCTTCTCCAGGAAGGTACACATATCGTTTCTAAGAGTCCTCCCATTTGCAGTGTATTCAAATAGATAAGTAGTTTTTTTGTAACAGCTGATAAGAAGGTTAAATCTGATCTCCTCTGTGTGTTCCTGCAGGGGGAGTTTGTCCGAGCTTTCCGTCATGCTCCGAGGAAGGAGAGCAGCTTCTCCACGGTGACCACCGGGATGAGGGTGTTCTTCTCTGAGGGGTCCCGGGTGGTGCAGGACGTCAGTATTTACTACGGTGGGATGGGACCCACCACTGTTAGCGCCTCCAAAACCTGCCAGGCTATCATCTCAAGGTGTTTGATTATTAGAAGTAGATAAGCAGGATTTTTTTCATTAGTCATCCTTGATTTCTTTATTCCATAAAATGACCAGGCATGACTATAGAGCGTGTTTCCTTCAGGCGTTGGGACGAGGAGACCCTGAGCCGGGCGTATGACGTCCTCCTGGAGGAGTTGGTGCTCCCTCCTTCGGCTCCTGGAGGAAAAGTGGAGTTCCGTCGCTCTCTGACTCTCAGCTTCCTCTTCAAGTTCAACCTGGAGGTCCTGCAGAGACTCAGAGACATGGTAGGACAAGGACTGATAAAAAAAAACATGCTTTAATTCCCTCGAGAAACCAGTAAGATATGTATACTAGAGTTTCTGTGTGCAGAATGTGATTACAGATGAGGTTCCTGAGAAAATGCAGCCTCTCCCCAAAGAGATCCAACCCAGCCTGCAGGAGTTCCAGGTGAGAAAATAAATGTTAATCTAAAGCATTTTGCATTTTGATAAACCACTTTTAATATGCAAACCTGACTTCTTCTTCTGCTTGTTCTTCAGCATGTGTCAAAGAGCCAGAGCGAGCAGGACCCTGTGGGGCGTCCCATGATGCATCGCTCCGCCCTCAGCCAGGCCACAGGAGAGGCGGTTTACTGCGACGACATCCCGACGACAGACGGGGAGCTGTTCCTCGCTCTGGTCACCAGCTCTCGAGCCAAGGCTCGAATCACGTAAGGAAAAAGTAAGGATCTCTGACTACAATTTAGATTTCTTGCATCGTTTTTAAACTTTAACTTTTAATCCGACAGAGGGCTGGATGTGAGCGAGGCTCTGCAGCTTCCTGGTGTTGTGGATGTCATCACAGTCAAAGACATTCCTGGGAAGAAAGTCCGTGAAATGTGCGGGTATGAAGAGGAGCTGCTTGCTGAGAGCGAGGTACAGTGTGAGCGTGTGCACACCTCTTTTTAATGGTGTGTGTGTACACTTTGAAAACAGTGATAGTTAGAAAACTGACTGATGACATATCATTTACACTCAAGTCTTACGGTACGTCCACACAGCAGCGTTAAAAAAATCTTCCAACGCTTCTGCCCATTCACTTTGAATGGGGTGACGTCACTTTGCCTCACTTTTCGCCGAACTGCATTGTGGGAAGCAGAGCGGAGCTTTGCTGGCGTTTCAGGTTGCAAAAGTTGAGCAATGTTCAACTTTTGAAGCTTCTGAAGCTTCGGTGGAAGCGTCAGCCAATCAAATCCTGTTTATGCAGCCAATCAAACCGTGTGTATGCTGGGAGAGACACACCGCAGGTCATTTCCTCATATTCCAAAAAATGGAGCAAGCTTCAACGCACGCCGCTGTGTGGACGGGCCATCACACCCTCTTTACTAATAATACTGTGTAGATCCTTCAAAAAGCAAACAGAATTCCAACTTATTTATGGGAAAACACTTGAATTTCAAGGTTCCCCATGTTTATACACTGATTAATGTGCTTTTTCTGTGCAGGTGTCGTGCGTGGGGCAGATGTTGTGTGCGGTAGTCGCTGATACGAGGGCTCACGCCAGAAGAGCAGCAGCGGCGGTGAAGGTCGGGTACGAAGACCTGCCGGAGCCCATCTTCACCACAGAGGTGAGTTGAGTCCAGATTTACTGACATATAACAAATCCAACCCGAGATGCGCTTTTTATGTGGATTTACCACGACAGTTTGTATACAATTATGGAGTTTCTTGCAATAATGTAAACACAAAAAGGCATAGTTAAGACAAAATGTAGTAGCTGTAAAAAAAAAAACTATCTCAGGAGTTGTAAATCGATTCAAAGTCTTAGAATATCCATTAATCAATTTTCTGCACAATCAATTTTTTTCCATAATTTTTTATTGTCACTCCCTGTGACAGGAAGCCATTGAGAAGTCGTCTTTCTACGAGCCTCTGAGGAGCATCGAGAGAGGAAATGTGACCGAAGCGTTTAAAACTGTCGATCAGATTCATGAAGGTAAGAGTCTGTGCTGAAACATATTAGTTATATTAATATCTGAACATAATCAAACAGAACCAGGTTTTGTATTTGTCCAAAGTGTTTGCACGTCACTGTGTTTCGCTAATTGTTTCCACAGGAGAGTTTAGGATGGGAGGTCAGGAGCATTTCTACATGGAGACGCAAAGCATGCTGGTAGTTCCCGTTGGAGAGGAGACTGAGTTCAACGTTTACGTCTCCAGTCAGCATCTGTCATTTACTCAGGTACACAGACGATTTTTAGACCTTTTAACAATTAACACTTGATGACGGCACATACAAAAGATATCTGGGGTTTGATGGATTTGTCTCATTTTCCTGGGCGCAGTCTGTGGTTTGTACTTGTTTAACTTTTGTCTAGTTTCTGAACATATATGAGGAGCTGTGAGCTCTGAGTGCTAACAGCTAACGGCTGTGTTGTTTTTCTGGGGTTTCTCTGAAGATCACGTCACGGCTCCGCCTACACTGCGTTACTATAGATACTACCCCAGTTCCTAAACTGTAATGGAAATGCGCCATAAAGTGAGCCAGTCCTAACGAGGCCCAGCCATACCGAGCGGGGCCGAGCGAGGCCGTGTAGTGGAAACGCGCCATTAGTGATCATCAAAACATTTCTATTACCAATCTTTTAACAATTAACACTTGAAATGATGACGGCACCTACAAAAGATATCTGGGGTTTGATGGATTTGTCTCATTTTCCTGGGCGCAGGACGCTATAGCAGAGACGTTGGGCATCCCGTCCAACAGAGTCACATGTCACGTCAAACGGATCGGAGGAGCTTTCGGAGGGAAGGTCTTCAAAACCGCGATCCTGGCTTGTATTACGTCTGTGGCTGCGTGGAAGTAAGTCACAATGGAAAACAACAACACACAGCATCAGAATATGTCTGTTTAATACAAAAACAAATAGGTGTATTGAAATTAAATGAGAAACAGAGTAGACTTAAATTCTTCTTTTTATTTATGGTAATTGCTTTGACTGTTTCTGTTTAGGACTAATCGAGCAGTGCGCTGTGTTTTGGAGCGAGGAGAGGACATGTTGATCACAGGAGGCCGCCACCCTGTCCTCGCCAAATACAAAGTAATAAAAAACACTTGCCAGAAGTTGATGGATTGAACATTGTGAATGTTTTCAGGAAAAGTGATAAAATATTGTTGGTTTTTTTCAGGTGGGTTTCATGCAAGATGGGAGGATCGTGGCGGTAGATATCCAGTACTTCATCAACGCTGGAAACGCAGTGGATGAATCTATCCTTGTGCGTAAAATATTTTTATATTTATTTACCAGATGAAGAGACTAAATGTAACCCTCGAGTTTCTTCTTCTTCTTCTTCTTCTTCTTCTTCTGGCAGGTAGTCGAGAAGATTCTGCTCCACTTTGACAACGCCTACAACATCCCCAACCTGTGGGGCCGTGCCGCCGCCTGCAGGACCAACCTGCCCTCCAACACCGCCTTCAGGGGCTTCGGCGTGCCACAGGCCCTCATGGTCATGGAGAACATGATCAACGACGTGGCCATGGCGCTGGGACGCCCTGCAGACCAGGTCATTATCCAATCAATATGCTTAGTATTAATCATCAGTGGTACAATCACTAATTCCTGTTTTCAAATGGTGTATCAGATCAGGGAGATGAACATGTACGAGGGTCCGTCCATCACTCACTACAAGTTTGCGTTCAGCCCGGAGAACCTGCGGCGCTGCTGGCAGGAGTGTAAGGAGAAGTGTGAGTTCAGCGCCCGCCGCAGCGCCGTGCAGGAGTTCAACCTGCAGCACCGCTGGAGGAAGAGAGGCATGGCCATCGTCCCCGTTAAGTTCGGGGTTGCATTTTCAGAAAGCTTCCTAAACCAGGTCAGTTTGTTTTTTTTTAGGCATGGTTAGGTTCAGCTTATTATGCTTTATATCAGTATATCTCCTAATATACACTGATGGTGATTGTGTGCTTGTTTGTGTGTAAAGGCTGCAGCTTTGGTGCACATCTATAAAGACGGCTCTGTTCTGGTCTCTCACGGGGGGACGGAGATGGGTCAGGGGCTGCACACTAAGATGCAACAGGTACAGGAAGTTCTTCAGTGTGAGTGAAAAAGACTCAAAATGTGTGACATCTGCCAGCCCAAAATAAGTCAAGAAACACGATTTTGAAAACAAAAAAGGTCCGGTTCTGTTCCCTTTTTCCTGTCAGGTTGCGAGTCGGGAGCTCCACATCCCCGCTTCTAAGATCTACATCAGTGAGACCAGCACCAACACCGTCCCCAACACCACCCCGTCAGCTGCGTCCTACGGCACAGACGCCAACGGCATGGCAGTGAAGGTAACATCACTTCCTGTTTGTTTGTTTTAGTGTTTTTTTTATTTTTATTTTTTTAAATGTCTCTTAAATGAAACGATTTAGTTGTAAGTTGTAGTTTATTTGACATATCATTTACGTGTATTGTTTACATTTTTCTGTTATTCAGGATGCCTGCCAGATTCTGTACCAGCGCCTGGAGCCAATCAGGAAGAAGAACCCCAAAGGATCATGGGAGAGCTGGGTACAATTGCACAATAATGGAAAACATGAATTAGATAACTCCTTGATTGAGCTTTAAAAATAGGTATTCTACCCAACAGTAAATAGCATTTTTATCACAAATTCTGTTTTCTTTTATTTATTCTCAGGTCATGGCAGCATTTATGGATAAAATCAGTTTATCAGTTACTGGATTCTACAGGTACGACTTCACATTTTTGATCATTTTATATGTATTTATTAAGTGACGGCAGAGGTGGGGGTCAGACTCGAGTCGCATATTTTTGGACTTAAGACTTGCTTGAATAACATTGATAAAAGACTTGACTTGACTTTGACTTGATATTCATGACTTGAGACTTGACTTGACTTGAGACAGATGACTTTTTAATTAAATATTTGCATTTGTTTTTGTATTGTACGGAGCCCCTAAAGGGCAATGAAAAAAAAACATACTGTATCTCGTTCGCACGAGAAAGTTACCGCCCAGTAGGAAGTGGAGCACACAGGAGACAACCGTTTCATTACAGACTGTTATGTTTATGTTGGGAAATGGCAGTGCATACATTATTTTAGATATATTTTGAACTCGGACTCTCATTCACTTCATGAAATCTCTACAGCACCAGGAGGCAGCGGGACGTGTAACTCCGCCTCTGAGAAGTGCAGCACCAGCGCGCAAAGAGCTGTGCCTTTTACGCAACGCCTTCACTGTGTTTACTTTCATTAGAACAGCCAAAGAGCGACCGCAGGCTGCTACGTTTAACCACACACACACACACACACACACACACACACACACACACACACACACACACACACACACACACACACACACCTTTACACACATCGAACTGCCCGATTAATCCCCCTATTACTCGTTTTATGAAGGAGATGTCCGGTCACTAAGGTGCATGATGTGTGTGTTTGTGCTCTGCTCAGCTCTGCTCTGTGTGTTTGTGTGTGTCCGACAACGGCATTTGTTTTCAAATGACCATGAACAGTAATTTACACACATCTGGCCAACTCCATATGTATATGTGGGTGTTCCCAAATTAAAGAAATTAGTTTAATCTTAATGTCGCACTGTCTGCACACAAACACACACACACATATCATGCACCCTACATATTCCGTTGTATTGGCTTTGATGCAATATTTCTTTGTGCACAGACACAGTTAGGAAAACAATGAGACAGTGTCATATGGGAGCACCTTAGACAGACCATGGAGAAATGCTGTGACCCTGCTGAAGGGGAGCCAGGGCAGGAGGCTTAACATGTTGATGTAAAATATTTGTGTTGTACTTCTGTTATCACTTTAGAACCCTTTTAGAACTTATAGGGTTATCATTTCAGCGCCCCACTCTCCATTGCTGTTTATGTTGAAAATAAAACTAAACTTTCCATAACCACAATATTTTAACTGATTTAAATGCGGAGACTGGGGTTATTCATCAGAATTTCGTATGACTTGACTTGTGACTTACTTGACCTGAGCAATGACTTGAGTTGCTTGACTCTCACCACAGTGACTTGGGACTTGCTTGAGACTTGTAGGTTAAGACTTGAGACTTGCTCATGACTTGCACATGTAGGACTTACTCGCACCTCTGAGTGACTGTAACACATCCCTGTCCTCAGAGGACCGGACCTGTACATGGACTGGGAGAAGATGGAGGGGCAGCCGTACGCTTACTTCACCTTCGGAGTGTGTTGCTGTGAGGTGGAGCTGGACTGCCTCACAGGAGACTACAGGGTCAGGACATGTTTTATGTTTTAAGAGATAAATCTGCATAAAATAAATAAATAACATTGGTTCTTTTTATCCTGCAGACGGTAAGGACAGACATTGTGGCGGACATCGGGAAGAGTGTGAACCCGTCAATGGACATCGGCCAAGTGAGTGGCTGATTTAAATGCAACAATAGATCATAATTAGGATAACTAGGAACAGATGCTCTTCAGAGTTTACTCGAGTTTACTCGTTTCTTTTATTTGTATTTTGATCTCCATTTCCCCCTTTTTCTTTACTGTTTAACATATTATCTTTTGTCTCTTCCTCCCTTCCTTTCCTGTCTCCTCTCTCCTCAGATTGAAGGAGCCTTCATGCAGGGTCTGGGTCTGTTCACTCTGGAGGAGTTGAAGTTCTCCCCCGCCGGGCTCCTGTACACTCGCGGTCCGTCTCAGTATAAGATCCCGGCGGTGTGCGACATGCCGCTTCACTTCAACGTCTACTTGCTGTCGAACTCCGACAACCCCCACGCCATCTACTCCTCAAAGGTTCAATATTTATTTTGCATTGTTGATGAGAAATAATACTGTGGTTTTGTCTTGACTTTTTCTCACTTCTCTGATGTGTGTCAATTAATAAAACAATAAATGTTCCTGGTGTTTGGTTCTGCAGGGTATTGGAGAGCCTGTCCTCTTCCTGGGCAGCACTGCGTTCTTCGCCATCAAAGACGCCGTGTCTGCAGCTCGCTCTGACTCCGGGTTATTTGGCCCGTTTTCTCTAAACAGCCCTGCGATTCCGGAGAGGATCTGCCTCGCCTGCGCCTCCCCGTTGACTCAGAAGGTAAAAACTGCAGAAATATGGGTGTTTCTACACAGAAACTGCAGTGGTTGAGATCAGTTGAAGTGTTTGTTTTACATTGTACCTGCCTAATTTACTGTGATTTCTCCAATAGCAGGTATTTATTTAAGGTCTGCTATTCTGTCATTGGTTTTATTTGATTTCAAAATGTTATTCTGCCATGGTGTAAATTTCCAGAGATTTTACATTTAGCATTCTCCAGTGGTGATATTTGTTGGTTTGTGTTTTATTTTGTTCCCAGATTCCAGCCAGCAAACCAGGATCTTTCACACCATGGGCCTTAAACATCTAAAACTCAACCTGTCAATCTTTGTATGTGAATACTAAAGCAGTGCATGAACGCAACAAACAATAATGAAGTAATACAGTTATACTCAATGATCTATAAACCTTCTCTGTTCTTTTGAACCAACCAATGAAACGTTTCTAATTTTTATTGTTACATTTTTTTATTGCAATTTAATTGTTTGCCCTTGCTCTCATCCTCCAGTATCACTATTTCAATAGAAGAATACATAATTAAGCACAATATTAAAATCAACATATTATCTCAGTGTTTCCTCTTTATTTATTCAGTGGTATCAAGGTTCAAGGTTCTTTATTTAGTCATACGAACATAGCTACAGTGTAGTTATGCCGATACAAATCTCGTGTCACAGGCTTCTCCAACAGAGCAACACAGATAAACAGAAAAATATAATATAATATAATAAGTAAATAGTAAATAGTAATACAAAAAGAAAAATAGTTTAAAAAAGTGAAATAGTGCAATAAGAGTCTATATGCAAGTTATTGGAATAGGATATATGGTAAATAGATAAATACTTTTAAAATAACTTTTAAGTAGCAGCCAGATGAATATTAAGGATGTTGTTTCAACAGTTCAGGTGTTTAGCAGTCTTATTGCCTGTGGGATGAAACTGTCCCCGAGTCTGGTGGTTTTAGTCCGGATGCTGCGGTAGCGCCTGCCAGACGGCAGCAGACAGAACAGTTGGTAGCTGGGGTGATGGGGGTCTTTTATAATCCTAAGGGATTTCTTCCTGAGGCGCTGGGAGTAAAGGTCCTCCATGGATGGCAGCTCCGTCCTGGTGATGTTCTGTGCAGTTTTCACCACCCTCTGTAAAGCCTTACGATTGAGGGCGGTGCAGCTGCTGTACCAGGCCGTGATGCAGCCAGTCAGGATACTCTCTATGGTGCACCTGTAGAAGTTGCAGAGTATCCTGGAGTCCATGTTGAACCTCCTCAGCCTGCGGAGGAAGAAGAGCCGCTGTCAAGCTTTTTTAGAATTAGGTTAATGTCAGGAATGAACAGGTTACTTTTAATCTCAGGATGTTACTTTTGTTTAAATTGATCATATCTTAAGATATATTATTTTGGCATAAATTGGCTTTTTTTCCTCGTAAAACACAACAGCATAACCTCAAATAACCTGAAACAGACTGACCTTTACCTGCCAAATACAGTGCAGTTTAATTATTAAAAAGGAAAAAGTATCACATTAACATGCTGCAGAGGAAAGTAGGGCATCTACAGAAATGTGTGTTTAGTTGTTTATCTTATAAAAAACGTTAACTCACAGAGCCAAAATAAACACTTTAGGCAGCAGTGAAGGGGACGTCAAGGGCAAAAGCATGAGATTTAACAAGTACAAAAACACTAGAATTACAGTGAATGTAATTATATACGTCATAATCATTAAGCTAATTCTGTCTAAAAAAGTAGGTTATATTTGTTTAAGTTTGCAGGTATTTTAACCCTCCTGTTATCCTCAGATTGACTTTACAACCCTTTATCCTCTGGGGTCAAATCTGACAGTAGTTTAAAACTCAAGACAATTATCATATTCCACATTTTAACCAACATGTATGTCTCTGGTGCTTTAGGTATCTTAGTTCACTACCTAAATAACCATTTAAATAAAACATTACCCCAACCTTCCCCCCCCACAGACCCCTTTATACATCCAGAATTCCTATTATGTGACTATCGAAAAATATATAAATCACCATAAAATCTCCCTGACCCTGACTGATATAAAATGTTAAAGTAATATCTTTTTGATGTTGTTAAAGGACCAATAACTAAAGCAGAGGGTAGTTTTTTTTACAATGATACATTTACAACAAATAATGAACCATTTTCTTAGATACGTTAAACATTGAATGGGGTCAGAGAGAAGCAGCAGTTCAGTTATAAACAGGAAGTTGACTGAGAATGAATCCAAATAAAAGCATCAAGTTAACGCTCACCAAAAAGATACATGTATTTCACAACACACCGACCTACAGTATGGTTAATAGTATATAGTTTAGTGTATCATGTAATGAACAAATGAATGAACATTGAAATGAATGTCACTAAAGAATACTTGAGAAAAGTTCCAGTGTTGTAAAGTATTTGAAAATGCTGGACAAAAATTAATGTATTTCCCAGGTTCGTTGGTTTTATTTTGAAAGTCCCGACAGCCGGAAGTTCTGTTTACTCAGACTGACTTTATCTAGTGTTGAGTCCCATACAGTCTATGGTTGAGGCCTAGGCTCCACGGGAACGAAAACGGGTTGAATCCGCATATTTCTCATGCGTATAGCCCTTTAAGCTAGACGACGCCGTAGCGGAAACGTAGAAACAGGCCCTGCAAACGACAACGGGTCCAAAGGTGGATAGATCTGGGAACGGAGCGCTCTGGGGGGTCCAACGGGGCCGTGTGGTAGCCTATACGGTCATCCGTTTCTGATAATGACGACGCAATAGCCCCGCCTCTGCTGCTCACCCCCGCAAAAGTACACTGTACACTGAATTCAGATTATTTATCTTTATCTCGATATGGACATAAACGCGAGTGAAGTCTAATCTGACAGGACAGAGACACGCAGCTCCTCCCGCTGTGATGCAGCGGGAGCAAAACACACACTTCAAGTCAGATCATCACCCTTAGCTATTTTAATTACCTCTCAAACTACCTAAACTAGTTATAAATATGTTTATTTTTACTGTCGGGTCACCAGTGGGTTCGCCTGGCCTGGGCATTCGGGGCTTTAGCCCCGAATGTTTTTTCTTTAGCCCCGGACAATTCTCCCTCCAATAATATAATACATTAACCGTGTAGTGATGTGTCGGTCGCGAACGAGCCGGCTCAAAGAGCCGGCTCTTTTAAGTGAACGACGGGAGCCGGCTCGCGCCCGCGAACGAGCCGTTTTTTTTTTGTTATTTTGTTGTTAAGTAATACAAGACAGAATGATATGATGATCTCCGCGCTACAGCTGCTCCGTGCATGCATGCAGTGACATGTAATATCCAAGGATTAGAGACTGTTGGATGCTGCTGTACTGAGCATTGCAATATATTTATTTTCACTATGTCATTTATTTATGATTATCCTTGGGCTCAGCAAGATTTGATGTCAGCTGTTACTGTCTTTTTTTCTATAGTTAATACTGAAATAGAGCCCTGCTGTTTAGTCAGGGCCTTTTCTTTAAATATAATTTTAAAATGTCGATACAGTAGCCCCTTTATTTAAATGTCTATGCTTAAGTTTTTTATCTCAATCTCAATCTTTATTTATTTATATAGCACATTTAAAACAACCTTCAGTTGACCAAAGTGCTGTACAGGCAATACATATTAAATAACACAATGGGAGTACAATAATAAAACAATAATTAAAAACATGATAAAAAGCACAATAACTAGAAAAATATTTAAAAAAAACACATACAAATGTAAAAATGTAATGTTCAACTAGTATTAAAAGCCAGTGCAAAGAGGTGAGTTTTTAGCTGAGATTTAAAAAGTTCAATAGACTCAGCAGTCCGGATATATACTGGGAGGCTGTTCCACAGTCTAGGAGCTGCAACACTGAAACCCTGTCACCTCGGGTTTTTTTTATAGGTGTTTGCTATCTGCTTTGTGTAGCGTGGTTCAAGCAAGTCAGTGCATTCATTGGGTGGTATCAGAGAGATACAAGGGTCTGTAAATGCAATGAAAACTGGCCACAGCAAATAATTGATATTAAACATGTAATTTTTACTTTTGAATACTTCAGTACAAAGGATGTATTGAATAATTTAAGTGATATGTTGTACACATATAAATCATGAGTCCAAAACAGGGCTACATTTGATTGAATTATAAAAGGTATAATATGTAGTAAACTGAAGAGCGTTTGGGAGCCGAAAGAGCCGGCTCTTCTTGGTGAGCCGAGCCAAATGATCCGGCTCACCAAGAAGAGCCGGAATTCCCATCACTATAACCGTGCTTTACGTGAACCTCATCATGACACAAGAGAGGGACGGCAGGACTGTAAATTTCCCGTGTTCAGTGAATGCAACAGAGGCATGACACCAGACCAATCAGAGAGTTGCATGGAAATAAACGTGTGCTTGTACAGACATAAGGAGCTGTTTGTTCCACAACAAGCTGCTGGAGGAGAGTCCCTCTCCTGTCAGACTGAGAGACTCAGGTGAGCTAAAGGACTCTCTGAGTGTTTAGATCAGACCTGGGCATCGTACGGCCCCCGGGCCACATACGGCCCTTTGGTTGACTCTGACCGGCCCGTGTAAGGCTAATTGGAAATTACAAAATAAACATATTTTCTAACTTTACCTCATGCATGGACTAAAGCTGCATTGCTTTTATTTTGAAGTTGTTTTTTATTCACGTGCATAATGACGCAATACGTATATCAAGACGTGCACATTATTGGATCCTTGTCACAAGACGACTTTAGCCCTCAAAAAAATGTCCGCTAAAAAAAAGAAAGGTAGATGCTGAATGCAGGGTTTTCAACAAAAATTGGACTGCTAAGTATTTATTTACTGAAGTCGGAGGTAAAAACCGTGTGTTTAGTTTGCGGGGAGCAAATCGCCGTGTTTAAGGAGTACAATGTGAGTCGACATTACGAGACGAAACACGCGGAGAAGAATATAAAAAACTTGACTGACGCTGAAAGGGCGCGGACATCGGAAGCTTTGCTAGCTAAGCTGCAAAAGCAGCAAGGCTTTTTTACCAAGCTTCACACATCCAGTGATGCAGCAACCATGACCAGCTTTGTGATATCCCACAAAATTGCTAAAAACAGTAAGCCGTTCTCGGAGGGGGAGTTTGTCAAAGAGTGCTTGGTGGACTCTGCAGCACTAATATGCCCTGAAAAAAAAGCCGCATTTGAGCAAGTCCCGCTGTCCAGGCGAACCGTGACTAGAAGGATCGAGGACATTGCGGGGAATCTGGAGCTTCAGCTGCAACGTGAAGTGGCAAGTTACGACTTTTTCTCCTTGGCTTTGGACGAGAGCTGTGATGTCCGCGACACAGCCCAGTTACTCGTATTCGTCCGCGGGATAACACCGGACTTCAAGATTACGGAGGAGCTGGCAGCAATGCGGTCGATGAAAGGGACGACGACAGGGAGCGATCTGTTCACGGAGGTAAACGAGTGCATGGACACGCATACATATGTGAACAAACATTTTCAATTATGAAGTTTACGAAATCCAGGTATAGATCCTCTCTCACTGATGATCATCTGTCAGCTGTGCTTCGCATCTCCACCTCAGA